AGAAGTATCAAAACTTGGTTGCGAGACAGGAATTACCCGAATTTGGGAGATACTTTGTGGTATAGCCATGCGCGCTCGGCCACCTGGCTACTCTAGACCCCGGATAATATCTGTGCAACCCATGTAGATCCCGAAAAGAAACTTATCAAAACCCGGATCTAGGTTCAAGGAATCGACACAATAAACGCGTGTGCTCCGAGACTGTTCTTCACTGCCTGGGCTCTCGGCGTTACCAGGTAGTAGGTTCCGAAGTCCACGCAATTATTGGAAGATCATGGGGTGAACTCGCAAAAAAGTTGTTGATAAATAGTGACCATACTCTCCTTGAGTTTTTTCCAAGCTCACCAAAGATGCAAAAAGTTGTAGTTTTTCAGAAAAAGCTGAATATCGTTGTCGGCATACCCGCCACACCCTGGGTAGCTAGTCATATCTAGGAACAAGATGGAATTATCAAGATTTTACGGAAGTTACAATGATCCTTTCGGACCGTGATATAGCTTTACGCCGAGGACCACGTGCGGTCCGGACTGAGGTGAAGTCGCCCAATCATGTATCTTCGGCCCTGAGTCAAATTCTGACCGAAAGTGTATCTGTGATAGGTATTATCCAGTATTATCCAGGGTGGGCTCTGCTCTGCCCTGCTTCTCGTTATTATGGTGATATTGAATCATTTGCCCACAAGCAAGGGATGTGCCTTGGTGATTGAAATCTCTCACAGTAAATGCCTTGTGTGTTCCTCCCTAAGTTCCCTGGCGGCAAGCTGTACCCGCCAAGGGCATCCGCACGGAACAACTTTGAACACCGAGCCGTCAAAATATGATAAACAGTTCGGCACTGCAACCCGCCACCATGGGCTACACTGCATATAACCTGAGCGCTCATGGATGAAAGACCGGTCCGTAAAGTCACCGTTCATAAGGCAAGTATCATGATCAGATGGCCGTGTTGTCTGGTGTTGCCAGGTGTTGTCACATCTGACATCTGGTTTTTTTCATGAAAGTAATGTCGATAGGTCCTGATACGTGATATGCAGTATCTCTGCACGCAGTAACGGACCTCCTTTGATAAAAAATGCGTGAGACCTCGGATCTTAAGATTTCATACCCGCACCTCTGGCCTTGCCCTCTGAGGCAAGCTTTTCATGCTTCAGCCTCAAGCTCATGTAAGAGAGTAATAGTGAAGAGCGCTATGAACGGAGTGAGCGTATGAGGATTGTTAGCGAGACAACTAAGTCAAAATTCGTTCGAATGCACATGAAATCCTTGTGCAAGAGAGACACGTTGTCGACAGTCGATTGTGCAATTACGTTATGTCGAATATTACCATTTGCGTCAAATAGCTATTATTACTATAAACGCTCAAATACTGTGCTGGTTGGGCTATACGTTCCACACCTTCCCTCTCTTATCCGATATTTACTCGGATCTCCCACCATGAACACAAAGAGCAGCAGTGCAACTGCACTACGACGATTAATGACCGAGTACAAGCAGTTGACCTCAGGAGGTTACTTTGGTGTCTTGTGAATCATACAGTTGACACTCACTGGGTTTCAACTTTCCAGGTTCGCCTGACGGAATGTTCACCGCAGGTATATCAACAAAAATATTGCTATATTGTTGGTGTAATCCCGCAATTTGACATATAGGTCCAATCTCAGAGTCGGACTTCTTCACTTGGGAAGCGCTTATCTCTGGTCCAGAAGGCACACCTTTTGTAGGTTTTTCCGCGACCTCTCGCAAGTTGTACTTGATGTAATTGGCATTTCAGGAGGGTGGCGTCTTTGTCGCCAAACTCACTTTTGTAAGATAACGTGTCAGATGGTCATCTCGCAAATGTAACTCAAGAGATGGGTCTAGCCACAGGACTATCCGCTATCGCCTTTCAAGATGAAATTCGACCCTCCCTTATTCCACCCGAACAGTGAAATGATCTCCTTAATTTATTTTATCACCGTGCTGATAGTACACAGTTTATCCGGATGGAAACGTCTGCATATCGATCCTCCACACACCCGGAGACGACCCTACCATGTATGAACAAGCGTCTGAGAGATGGAGTCCTGTGCAAAGCGTTGAGAAGGTGATATTGAGTGTTATTTCCATGCTTGCCGGTACGTTCACCGGATCTGATCCTCGTTCTGCCCTTCTCCTGATGCTTCACTCGATAGAACCAAATTTGGAGAGTGGAGCTAACATCGACTGTTGCAAGTTGTATCGGGAGAACAAACCAGTGAGCGCTGATTTAGTATCATGCCACTCTTATCTCTCATAAACATGACTCTTTTACATAGAAGTATGAAAGGCTGGTCAGAGAGTCGATTAGGCAACAGCTAGGTGTATGAGTAACATGATATATAACACTAGAATAATATACGTTGCCAGCACGTTCCTTGCAGTAATTGGCTGGACTAATCTACTTGGAATAGGTTATACGAGATGACGAGCCTTATTGTATGTATAGCGGAAGTGGAAAAATTGCAATATTATCGTGAAGGGGCATGACGCTTGAACACTCTGTTGTGGTACCCAGGGCCTGTCTTGCCAAATATGTGGCGTTCCACATACTCATTGCGAAACATCCCACGAGGGTCGACAGACCCAAGTACGCGGGTGAAGTCGTCGAATCGAGGATACAATCTGCGAAGTGTCTCCGGACGGAGGTGATGTGCCTTGGCCCAATGAGGTCGACCACCATGACGGCACAAAATGGCTTCAAAACGCTCAAACAGCAACCTGTACGGGACCTCGAAACCATAAGGTCTTCGCCAAGTCTTAGCCAGTGCAAAAAAAAAGATAAACAAGACACGTACTTATATTGGATAATCCCAATCCAACAAGTTTTCTGTCCGTTACTGGGGCTTAGCCATATGTCGTCACTGTCGGAGAATCGCACTTCGATAGGGAAATGAGGGCGGAGACCATTTGGGTCAGAGAACTCGCGCATCAGCCAATCATGTAAATCGTGAAGACAGGATTTCGTATTTTCGTAGGGGATAGCCCATTCGGTAGTATGTTGCGGATACTACAATGAAGTCAGTGATGTGGGACGAAGAAAAAAAAGCTTCACTCACTCTGCATTCCATGTTAAAGATCCGGAAGCTATCATCAATCGCAATAACTTTGGTGCTGACCAGCCATGATGCGAATCGACCAATGAAGATGTTCAGTGGCAAAATGAATCTTGCCACAAAAAGTAGAAACTGCACCACGTGAAAGCCGATCAACGAATGCCAGAGCCAACTTCCTGCCGGTTTGACTGGCTAGAAGGAATTACGTTGGAAGTGTACATAAGCTGAACACATGGACTCACCTCTACGGTACGATCGGCTGAACTAACCCGCATGGTATCCGCAGCTGGAAACCACCAGAACCGAACGTGTTCGGAGGCAGTGATAAGGCTGTCCAAGCTCCGCACGCATTCATGAAACTGGAAGGTTTGTTGAACCTCTTTGAGGCGAAACGCGGGCTCCACCTCAAGGGTAACCGTCAAGATAAGGCCCGTGCTGCCCAATCCGCATATTGATGCTGTGAAAAGATCGGGCCTCTCTTGGGGAGAACAGAACACACGAGATCCATCCGCCAGCAGCAACGACAGTCCCATGACATGCGTAGAAATAACGCCATACTTGATGCCAGTTCCGTGGGTAGCGGTCGTAACGATACCGCCCAACGTCTGATCGGAGATTGAGCCGACATTGATCATCGCAAGACCATGGCTTGTGAGTTCGGCATGCAGTGCATCAAGTGTAATTCCGGCCTGAGCAATGATATATCTTTTATCTGCATGAACCTGAACAATTCGAAATCAATATTGCGCGCTTACGTGTTAATGATAAATCGATGACGAATGGCCAGAATGTCTCCGGCAATGGGTCGGGGATGAAACAAAGTTTAACCGAATGAGTCTAAAATTATGCTTACCTCCAAAAGTTTGTCGAGCTTGGTGGTGCGTAGCATGTAGCCAGTGGTACAGGCGAGGTCACTGGGACTATGGCCCACTCCGACTGCTCGGACTACTCTGCCTTCACGTCGTGCAAGCTCCAGAATGAGCTCGCACTGAAGTTCTGTCTCTGGTTCGAAGACCGCGAGTGGGGAACAAGTGAAAGTGCCGCTCCAATTGGTGAATTTGGCATTGGGAGAAGTATTAGGGACTGTTATTGGCTGGAGTAGGCCATACAGCTGCTGGATAGAAATGGAGGAAAGGTGAAGTGCCGATGTCGACGTCGACATTGCAGGGACAAATAGCGAGGAGATTGACCATCCATTGCAAAGGCTTTATAAGTTTTTGGGTGACGACTCATATGTCAATCCGATCCTCTGTAAGACAGTTCGGCGAACTCCGACGATAAACGGATATGACCGGATGTCGCAGCAATCAAAAGTGTGGACGAGAGTGGAGGTAACGCTCGAAGGCAATGTACCGACGACCAATAGGCACCAGGTCACATAATCCAAGATCGGGTTCCGAGATCTCTTCACCCACAGGCTATTACACTTGCGGCCAAATCGGAGGATTCAACCTGGGATAGCCAGGTAGATCTCGTGCCATACGTTTGAAGCTATCGCCCCGTGGCAGAAAACGCGTGAGACGAACCTGAGTCCCGGATCTGACAGATAAAGCTGCATCATGGCATGGGGGCGTCATGAACTTACTCAAAAGTACTTTAGGACGTTCACATCATCGATCATCGACGACATACCTGCGAATTCAATCACCGCCTCAGGATCGGCCGACCCATCGTCTCCCATCGTTCATCAAACGGAATTTAATCCAGAAAATTTCGTATCCCACATGGCTGTCAATAGCTGTCAATATTTGCACGCATTGGAAAGGATATATCGCCTCATGAACGGGAAAGTCTTGGTAGTTTTACAGTAATTTAGCCATTAGTATCAGAAGAACATGAAGCGCACAACTATATTTCCGTTTCATCCAAGCCGTCGTTGCGTTGGCAAATTTTTGCCGTTCTCCCACGGGGATTCGACTTTTCCGACGTATTTTAGGTCATTGCCAGGAACACGCGCATGAACATTAATAATAACGCAACATATACTCCGGGTCAACGAGATGCAGCAAACTCAGTAGTACAGTTACTCGCAGTCACCATGCCAATCAATTGAGAAAATCGAAGACAACTCGGCTCCATTCCTGTCCCTCGTAAAATAAAACACCTCGGACCTCAGCGCTATCAATCTCCAAACCCAATTCAAATTCTGCGAACAAGCGTCAGCACAGGTCTTTCAGAAACGGCTACAACCACAAACCTGTGAAGAACCCATTTGGCTGCGGTATGCTCGCATTCTGCATGAACGTGGGCAGAGAACTCAGATCAACAGTCCATCTACAGAGCTCCATCGTTTCGCCCTTCATGAAGAATAGGTTAGTGATATCCTGGAAATATCCATGACATAGCCACCTACCTCATCAGTATATCTCATCATCTTGTCTGAGTCGGAAGTATACAATACGGCTACGAAGATACAATCTGGATATCTATGAGTATCGTGAGGCGGCGATAATCAACCTCGAGTTGTATCGCACCCTGTCCATTCTGTGAGAATTTGCTGCATTGCAAGTTAAACTAAAGTTCAGTTGTGCAGATGTAGTTGAGGCGCTTACCAAAATTTCGTCCTCAATATTTGCCTTGAAGAATACAAGGTCAACAAGATAACACTCTGAAGCAGATCGCCAGTTACCCTTTTCGCAGGATAGCGCCCTTCATGACCAAGTATTGTAAGCTAGGTCCGGTAATCAATACATTGCGCCGGGTGGTTCATGGACCGTCATTACCGGTTGTCACAAATGGGAACGTTGGCATTGTTCTCTTTTATGTATGCAGGGCGTCTGGCCCAGTCCTCTGGCTCGGCAGGCAGTTTCACCTGGACACACAATCAAAAGGGTAACAAGGAGGCTAAAGTGTGAACACCCACTTTCATGATGTAGGACCGTGGAGCGATCACAGTGGATACAATTGATTTGCGAGAAAGCCCGTACAACGCGGCACCTCGCACCGTAGCCGTGTCAGCGTCAGAAGGGCGAGCGATGACCTTGATCCTCCCCGAAAATTGCGCCTATCTCACGAGGGTGTGTAAGACCTACTCAGTCATCCATGACGCTCCACTCGTGTAAACGGACCTCAACTCGTCTAATAAGATATTCGCTGCCAGCGAAGCCTCCCACGAGAAGCAGTGCGTCGATGCGCTGCTCTACCTTCTTCGACTGTTCTTCGATCATTTCAAGTACCTGTCAAAAGACCATGACCAGCGAAAATAGCGAGATCTCACGACAAAAGTTACCTGATTCACAACGGGATCAAACACCTCCCGGCGGATGAGATTCCCTGGAATCGCGAGTTCTCCATTGATCAATCCAACGGAAGAATCGTGGGGATCCTGCACATTAAAACATGTGAAGTTGAAGTATGTGTCTGCAGATAGTGCGCATAAGCGTGAGAATCCCAGGGCAAAAGTTTTGACAACCATCATCTCTCTCGCCCCTAAATGCGAGCTTATCGGTTTGACTGAAAGAGTGCATAAAATAGGCGAGACTGGCGGCGTCCAAATGAGCAGGATGATCAGCTAAAAGAGTTTTTACAAGCTCTCGGAATCTCAAATCGAGGAAAAGGGAACCACAATTGGCCCCAGATCGAGCACACATCTCGGCGATCTCGAGGTTAGACATTTGCCCAATAATCTTGTAAACGGCAAGGTCCTGTTGCCAGAGATGCATCAGTCAGATGCATGAAATAACTCGTCGTAAGAAAACGTACAACTGTACCACCACCAGCATCACATATCATAAAATTCTGGTTGGGCTTAAGCTTGTGCAGATCCGTAAGTCTGGCACAGTGGACAGCCGCGGCCTCTGGCTCGCTGGAAATGGATCAGCCAAATGGAGAGGCAGACAAGTAGGAGATATCATACGTGATAATGCGCAGCCTGTCGCGCCAGTTACCATCACCTGCATGAGCCGACTGCACGAGGCCTGCGGCAATAGCAGCTTCGCGCATCATGTCGCATCCTTTAGCGTCCCAGGCTGCCGGGCACGTCACGAGTACATCAGCCGAGTCTGGAAGAACATCAGATAAATCAGGGTATCCATTATCTTCCATGTGGTCACTGACTGAGATCTGCGACAGCACCAATGTCACGGGTAATCTGCTCTTTGGCGTATTCCCACAGACACGACAAGAAGTCGATGATGAGATCCATGGCTACTTTACCGGGCTAGAATACCGTAAATTCGATGCCATAAAATAAGGGGATAACACAAACAGGTAATTGGGGTAATCGAGGGTCAATCGCGCTTTCATCACGAAGAGCGCGTGGTTCGAGAAAAAGCTTGAACCTTGAATGAAGTATCTGAATCAGATAATTTTGGCCCATTATAAAGTCTCTACCATTCACAACGCGTAGTGCCGGGCATGGAGCTAGCGTTCTTCGCTTCCAGCCCCCAAGCAAGAACTTGACCATGTTCATCGTACAGCAAGCACGTGGGTACCTTGCGGAAAGTTTCAAAAGATCCAGGCCAATGCAGGATTTGCTGTATCTTCCCGGACGCAATTCGAGACGAGGCATATGCCTATTTGCGATGTAAACCATAAGCTGCAAAGCCTTCCTTAAATCATGCTCACTCACAACACCAGAAAAGGTAGTTCCTGCATTCCAGTCAGCACAAGACTTCGCCAGTAACAATAGGAATACTCACCAAAATCAATAGAGATCGACATTTTCCCCTCGTCTGAAGGCGCCGGATTAATCCTAGCTGAAGTTACTGCAGTGGATGTAGATGGTGTGACACTGTTGCTCCTTAGCGGAGCATGAATGGGGTCAGGATGGAAGAGAGGTGTAAAGAACGCAGTAGAATTTGACGGTCCTGGAGGAGCATATGCAGCTGGTGGTGACATCAATGGTGCACCTCCAAGATTTGGACTCAAAGGAGCTGAATAGGCCGGGCCTTGGGGAGGTGGTGAGGGCGAGTGACTCCAAGGAGTGCCATTTATCGACCGGTTGTTTTGTTGAAAGCTTGGTGGAGGTGGAGAAGGCCCAGGAGGGATGAGCAGTGGTGGTTTCTCTGCAAATGGTTGTATGTGATGTTGAGCGCCTGGATGAGGACCAGGCTGCTGGCTAATGATACCGTTATTCACTGGTTGCGCTCTGTTGGCATATTGAGTATCAGGAGTATTGGCTGACACCACTGACTCCCCACAGCAGCCCATCTTGAAAATAGCGAAAATGGACGGAACTAGGGTGTATGCCTTACCTCCCTGTTGCAACTGCCCTGGCGTGGCAGTGCAAGTGCTGTGAAGTCAACCGAGCTCAAACCGAGCTAACTGCAAGCGTCAAACTAGCGCCCGCTCAGAGCGCTCATATTCCAGACATGTGTTGTGACAAGTATTATTACCCCGCAAATGTCGGCACTGATAGGCACGTTGACCCTAGTTCTGCAGTAATACATAGTAGTAGATGTACGACTCGTTCAAGTCTGAATTCAGCTGTTATACTACCGAGTGGCGACATGAAGATTAAAATTTACTCGACTTAATAGACACACAGTGCACTAGTAGAACCACGCTTCAGTCACGCATTCAGCGGCATAGGTGATGAGTAGACATCCGAGACAGCCTGGTCATGAGCTTCTCACCCACGATTAACACTTTCTAGCTGAAATATTGATATTCGAGGAATACCGAAGTTACATCAGGAACAGATATAATTAGAATTATTCTCTTACTAGCAATGATAGGTCATGAGGGATGACAAGCTGTCGCACATATATTATTTATGACTCGGAGAAATGCAGGAAGCTGCCTGGCTGCTACTTGCACCGGGAAGGAATCCCTGATGGGCAAAGATTATGACGATTGCAGCGGTTCCTATAGACGGGGGCCTGTAATCAGATGAGATCCGGAAAAGGCCACGACTCTGAGCTTTGAATCAGAGATAGACACCCTGGTGGGATTTTTCCAGCTGCCACAACCCAAGCTGGTGTATTATCAGCGCTGTCGTCCACTGCGAATATGGATCATCGCTGGCTTTCTATGATGATCTTTCGATAGTAATGCAATCAGCTAACCTGTGCAACTATCCGGGAATGGGAATTTTCCCCTCCCGACAGTAGAACCACAGGGTGATTTCTGCGCCACTTATGCACGAACGCATCACATGATGTCAGCGACTCTTGTGAGTCTTCTCGAGTGCAGACGGGAGGATGGCTCATCGTGATATTTCACATGAAGGTTTCGGTATCAAGCGAAGGAGTTCTGATTCCTTCCCCGAGTCTAAGTGGGAACCGTTCAGGAAAGTTCCGAGTGTGTTGATATCTTCCATTTCGTACAGGATGTGGGATATCTATTTCATGATAGTGGCTCCGAGGGGAATCCTTTGCGAGTCGCACGTTGTAGAATGGCGGCACAGGCTAGTACCGATTGCTTCCACGTGAAGTGTCGATTCCTGTCACTCGACTCCAAATTTTGTTGATTGCCCTGGCATACTTTTCGTCACATTTGCTGTGTGTCCGAAATCCGGCCGCGGATGCATTGCTGACTGGGAAGGACAATTGACAATCGCTCCCAATCACTCCCGATCCTCAAGCGATGGCAGCCAGTTACTGTTAGACGGATTTAAAAATACCATAAACGACGCACCACTGCATTTTGGTTTCCCCTTGGAATGAAAGTTCAAGTTGGAGCTTCCCGCGAAGGTTTGCGAAGGTTTGCGTAAGATTGAAGGTCCGATTCTGCGAAGTCGGAGCGCCTGTTACTCAGTAGGTTTGCGAAAAATTGACGTCGGTCCTCTAGTTCAATCTATTTGAAGTACTGGTAAGTACAAGGTCGAATGGTATTCATTCACGCGATACGTCGGGACAATGACCAACCCTAGATTTCACCTAGAAGAACTCTCATGGTTGCCTCCAAGGCGGCACAAAAGCTGTCCAGTATCGCTTCATCATGGCCCGTTGATCCATTTCGTCCGAATATCCAACTCAAGAACTTCTTGATACACCTCTCTGCGCATCCGAAACTAACCTCCGAGGCTGTCCAAGCAACGCAGCTACTACGGGACAACGCCATACAGAAGAAGGTGAGTGCGACCACATGTGTTCTCATCCATGGTTAACGGATTACAAATGGGCGTTTTCCGCATTCAGTACGCACTGTCAGCGAAAACACTTCAGCCGGCTTCTATGCCAAGACACTACGAACGGCTTGTGGAAGGATACCGAAAGAAGTGCAAGAGGTGCCGGGAGACCTTGGTGGAAGGTCTTTTTTGGAGTATGGAAATAACCATGAAATATCAAACCTTTCTGTGACTTTCATTTTCGCTGAACTACTCGCCCTGCTGTTCGGCACTTGGTGGAGCGGAAGCCTTGTCATTCACTAGAAGCTCAGAGTGTGTATAGAAGGGGCCTTGCATGGTATTCTAATCTGAGAATAGACCCCAGGTCTGCACGAAACCCAAGTTGACCGTCTAGTGATTTCAGTCCTGATGTCCTCGGATCCATTCAGGCTTAGACCCATCAATTGGTCGAACTATATATCACCATCACTTTGCCATAATTTTATGGTCAAACTTCTGGCTGTCGGTATATTTGGCGATGGCAATGCCGCCTTATGGTTGTGTAGACGATCAACCTGTTCATTTTCACCTCATAAACCCCATGCGGTCCATCCTGAGATCTATCTGAGTCCAAAGGGATAACCAAAGAACCCCCGCCTCACCAAGATTGGGTTCATGAACCCATATGACCTGTTGTGTAAAACAACGCCAACAGCTTGGCGTTCCAGAAGGTCACAGCGCGGAACAAAACGCTGTAATATCAATTCGGTCCTCGCCGGATCTCACAATTCAAAAACGTTGAAATTGAGGCACAGCGCGATCAAGAGACAGACGGCAGATACCGCTTGCGCTAAGATATCTATTTTTTGGGAAGGATGAAATGGTGTATGTGTGTGCAAGCATTGTGGAGGTGGAGAACGTCCCGGAAATTAAACGCGGAACGAAGCGCTGTGGCGGTGACTTCGGGCCTTGCCGAATACTTTTGTAGATGTTCCGCGGACAGAAGAGGGTCAACGCTATTCCTCTCGCGTTCCGAAAGGATCAAATTGGGGAAGCGACCCCTTGATTATCATTTTCTTCGGCGTCTTGTGTCAAAATAATTAACGGCAGGCAGGTGGGTTGGAAGACGCCCATACCAATCTAGTCTTCTAAGATTTCATCCTCGCCTTTGTTGGCCTGTAACGACATCAGGAGTATCCACACGGTAAAAAAATACGCGTACCTTATCGATCATCCTCTTGCGCTTCTCCCTGCTCTTTCGTTGCACTTTGAGGTACTTTCCCAGGGGGGACTCCGCTATCTCCGCGTTGGCCTCCCACTGTTCGACCTCATCCATTTTTCCTGGACCGAAATTGATGCCTGAGCGTGACTGGTCTATCCATTTTGCACAATCTTCCACCCGTTCTAGAAGGCCTTTCACCATTCCCGCTTCTTTCCCGAGCACTTTGCAATTTTTGAGTGTCCGGCGGAGTGTGACAATGATGGGTACGATCAATTCGGGGAATGCAACGCTTCCATGTACTGGGCCGCTGCCAAGCCACTCCGCGAGAAGGAATACAGTCTCCTCCACAAGCCCCGCTGCATATACCCGCGTCTTAACGTACTGCGCCGGAGCACGTATATGCGTTTCCATGTCGAGAGGGCGCAGCGTGGATGACTTAGGCTTGCCAGATGCCGTGAGGGTAGAGGAGATGATAGGAAGGAGATAAGGCGTCAGTGGTACGTAAATGCGCGTGTGTCGAGTCAGATGCAGCATCGAGCGTGCGATGTGTAAGTGGAATGGATATGACCGTGAATTCGAAATGAGTCTGCGAAGAAGATAAGCACAAGAAAAACTACACGTGGAGAACGTACTTGATGGCACCCAGACTGACCTGCACGAGTGGGTAGATGAGCGGCCTTAGCTCACTCTCCTGCCCCCCTCGTTCGGCTTCCGCATGTGCATCGCACGCGCGACCTAGCACAAGTGCCCAGAAGTCAACACAATGCGCGTACTGCCAGTTGTAGACCTGTTTGTACGCCTCCTGAAGGTGATACAAGTCGTCAGATCTGCCGCTCAAGTTACCCACAAGGATTCTACTTGCCTTTGTTTTTGTCTTCATACCCCCACGCAGGAGTATTGCAAGCTGGCGTATGTACCCAAATGCGTGCGGGTATGTTACACCATGATCTACACAAAATAATTCGCATGCGGAGTTCTTCATGAGCGTAATGGATGGCAGTCGATAAGTGGTCGTAGACTTGCACGCGCGCACGAGCGCCAAGTAAGTGCTCTTTAAAGTTGGTCTGCGTCAAGAGCAGTACCAGGCATCAAAAACTCGCGCGGCGTACCTTGAGTACGAGATCCACGATAGAGTCATCAGTGGAAGACGCAAGTCGACGGATGGCGAGAAATGCAGCTATCCGTACGTCATCCTCACCTGTGGACCACAATTCTAAACATTTCTGTATTGGGGGTCAGCCTCGTTCAAAGACGAATAGAAGGGGGAAAGGGTAAAAACAGAAGATAAGTACTGTTGTAATAAAGGATTTCAAGCAGGAACACAGTAAATTTGGACTCGCCTTCAAGTACGTCTTAACAGCCTTGCGGCTAGAAACGACGTAAGGGAGAATCTTTGCGCTTTCTGTGAGAGCGAGACGCAATGTATCCGGGTCGGTAAGTTGAGGGATGAGGTGAATCAGATTGTTGAAGTATGACAGAGTTAGTTTTTGCAGCGTTTTCTGCTTTGCAGATTGCGAAGGTTGTTTACTGACGGTAGATAGAATATTTCAGGGCAAGACGTTGTAGAAAGAGCGAAGGACACACAATTTACCGTTCGGAAGTGTTTTATATGGGAGATGATGGGCTAGGACAATTGGCGTATACCGCAGGGAGGTCGTTACCAACTTTGTGTACACTTTCGGGAGAACCGATTCAGCTACATAACACGATACACGAGGATACGATGCTCACCTGCGGCATTGTCAATGCGCCACAAAAGAACCTGGTCGTCTTCATTCATATGCGCTGCAGAGCGAAACGCAATGAGCAGTTTGCGGAGGGCTCGTAGGGAACGATGCTACAGCCGCCGGGTCAGTAGTGAATGTGTAATTAAAGAAAGATGTATGATTTGCCTCAAGGAGTGCTTTTTGCCAGGTTTTGAGAATGCCGGTAGTAAGAATGGGCAGTTCCTCTCCCATTTCATCATCGTCATCATCACCATCGTTGTCTCCATCCATGACATCATCCTCATTATCCGATTCGTCACGGCCCTCTTGAGCGGTGGTGAACTCGAGAAGCTCGCGATCATTCTCCTGTAGATATTTGTAGAACTCAGGGTCCTTTTCGGCGAGTTGTGCGAGCTCAAGCATGTGACTTGTGCCATGATCTATCACAGTATAAGCAAAGCATGTAGAAATCATGTAGGCATTCACCCTCAAGATCATCTACAGACGCAAAGGACTGGTCGTCTGCTACGTCTTCTTCATCTTCGTCTGTATCCAACTCGTCGCCTCCGGCATCATCCTGCGCGTATCAGAATTGCACCGAGTGATGAAAAGAATAACGGTCCTACCTCATCTTCCTCAGCATCATTGTCATCATCCATAAATTCTGCTCCGAGAAAGTCCTCGACAGTCATTTTCTTCGCACTGAAGCAGAATTCTCGGCATTTAGACAAAATATCAGACGACAATTAATCAACTGACTCTTTGCCTCCCTTAACCTCTTTTTCGTCGTCATCGTCGTCATGTTCACTGCCGTCTGCTTCAGTAACGGCCTGTTGCTTTCCTTTGCTGTGTGTCCCACGTCTCCCTTGAATTTTCTTCTGCATCTGCTGGTGCTTCTTCCGCGACTGAATTGCCTGCTTCAACTTGCCACTCGCCGCGAATTTGCGGCTAGACTTTGCTGCCTTCCCCATGGTTTCAAAGTAGTTGTCCGACTTTCGAAGTGTAGGTAGAGAAAGCAAATGGAGGAGTATGGAACTGCAGAAAAGATTATTGCGATCCAAATCACATATTACCAAAAGAGGAAAGTCACCACGGCTTGAAAGTCTCGGACACACCCCAAGTTGCACCAACCACCATATTCCAAATACTCACTAGGTCGACAGTCATGACAGATATTGGCTCCATATCGGCAGTAGCGAGCACAACAGATGTACTGGACTCTGCAAACAACTTGCTCACATCCCATCGGAAGCTACTCACATACATACGCAATTCACAGCGGGCGCATCGACGTCAGCTTCGTGCTCTTGCAACTGCGCCCAACGATCTGGCAAATTTCCCATTAATTGATTCTCCTGAACCATCACCAGTGCATTCCCCACCGTCATCGCCCCAACTCGCTCCTCGTACCCGCCCACAACGCCAAGATCTCCATCCTGCAAAACGTGCGAGAGTCGCCCGCTACGCAAATTATGTCCCAGAAGAAGAAACGATCCGCAACGACTACTCGCAGCGGTACGTCGACAGTGGTGAGTGGCCGCAGAATCGGGTTCTCGGTGCGGAGCCTTCCCGCCGTTTCGAGGAGTGCGTCCGCTACTTGCTGCTCCGGATCTGATCTCATGTCAATTACAGATACCCAAAGCAGCAGCGCTTGCTCGGTCTGAAAAAGGAATCCGTCGATGCGCATGCTACACCTCCATTTTTCCTTCCCTTTTCTCACCTCTCTTCATTACATCACCAAAAATTCGATGTCATCCTCCTAGACCCCCCATTCTCCTCATCTTTTGGCTGGGACGATCTTCAAGCTCTTCCTGTGCCTTCCCTTGCTGCCGACCCTTCGTTTGTATTCATGTGGGTAGGTAGTGGCGCAGGAGAAGGTCTCGAGCGTGGTCGTGAGGTCCTTGCTAAGTGGGGCTACCGCAGGTGCGAGGATGTTGTATGGGTGAAAACCAACAACACCACCAATCGTGGCCCAGGGGTGCGTGTCATGGTTACCCTCTACTCATCTATCTGTAAACTGACGCTATTTACATAGACAGACCCACCTACTACTTCTCTTCTGACCCGCACAAAACAGCATTGCCTCATGGGTATCCGCGGCACAGTACGTCGCTCGACTGACAGCTGGTTTGTTCACTGCAACGTTGGTGAGCTTGTTTTCTATTTGGGTCCTTATCATTTTGTTGTCCATGCTCGTTCATCATGCTTTGGAACCGTGCATCATGTCTGACGTACAAACTCATACCCTCTGGAAAATTGGACACTAATTTAGTTTGCAGATACCGACGTCATCATCTGGGAAGGTGATACCGCCGATCCGATGCGCAAACCACCCGAAATGTATACTCTCATAGAAAATTTCTGTCTCGGCACACGCCGTCTTGAACTTTTTGGGCGGGCACGCTCGTCCCTC